TGTACGGCGCTACTCACCCGTCGGGGAGACTTACCCAGACCATGCCTTCGAGCACGTCTATCAGGGCTGGCGGCGGCCCGACGTGCCGCCCATCCTCCCCGACACCCGCCCGCTCTCGAGAGCCGACCAGCAGCGCTACCAACAGCACCAGCAGCGCACCCAGCAGCGCGACCAACGTGACGCAGGTCAGCCGAGCACGCCACGCAACCGCTCTCCCGCGCGCGTCCCGACAGGGGACAGCGCGGGGCACGGCGGGGGCGCCGCCTATCACCGCGGCCCCATTGGTGCCAGGCCCGCGGCGGCAGGAGCATCCGCCTCCAGCTACGGCCACGCCCCCCACGCCAGGGTGCACCCAGCGGTCGTCGGCTACCCGCGTGCACTCGGGCAGGCTCCCCCACGGGCCACCTCGCCCGTGCCAGGGTCCACGCGTGCCTGGGGCCATTGCCCAGGCCGCCACGACAGCACCGCCAGCAACCAGTCCGCAGTGGCACCCCCTGCGGCTCCAGCCCAGGGGGCTGCACCAAGCCGTGGCAGGACAGGGCGCCCCGAAGGATGGCGCGAGGCGAACGTGCGTGCCTGGCAACCGCGCCAACACACGCCCCCGCCAAACGTGGCCGCAGCGCTGCGCCCTGCCCAGGCAAAACCTGCCCCCCCTGAGCGCGAGCGGCAGCCGCTCGTCCCGCTCGTCCTCACGCACGTCCAGGTGCACCACAGCGCCTCCCCGCGGCACAGCGAGGGTAGTGCCCACCACGTCAGCCCCCGGCCCGACGCCGTCGACCCTGACCAGGCTGCAGCCTCGGCGGCGGGCGGCACAGGCGGCTCCCGCCCGCCCAGCCCAATCACCCTGCGCAGCGCCGATCCGCTCCCCGAGCAGGGCGGACTCTGCGCGCGCTAACGCCCAGGTGGCCTCGCCACGTGACCGCCACACGGGCGGGCGCGTCCCGCGCAGCCGGTCCTACAGCCGCCACAGCTCGCGCAAGCCCCCTGGGAGCTCCACGAGCTCGCCGCCTCGCGAGACTCAGGCTCACGGCCAAGCCTCAGAGGTGGTGCCACGTTTCGGTGCCAGCGCCATCGAACCTGGCCAGGTCGACCTCGAGCCGACGCCGTCCACGGACCAGGAGCTGCCACCGCCCACCCGCGTTGTCGTCGCCTTCGATGAGGCGCCGACCTTCGACCCCTACAAGCACAAGTACTCCGTCAAGGGCCTCGCGGCGGACTTCGGCGGCGGCTCGCCGCCGCCCCCTCCGAGCCACGGCGGCGGCCCCGCCATCTCAGCCGCTGCCGCGGCAGCGGCGGCCCCGCGTGGAGTCAGCCCTGTCCGCAACGCGTGCCTCACGGCAGCGGGCATGGACGAGGCTCAGCGCCAGGCCACCGACCGCGCCGCTCGCCACGCCCAGCTAGTGGCTGACGCGCTGGCAGGGCGTGCGCCGCCGCAGCCACAGGGCCCACTGCCCGAGGCGAGCGCGGAGGGTGCACACGAACAAGCTGTTCCAGCTGATGCTGCTCATCACGGCACTGACGGGGCGGGCGCGCCGCCGCAGGACGGACCAGCGGTGTCGCGTGCGCAGTATTTGCGCGCGCGCTGCGCCGCTGCCGCGCCGAGCTGCCGCCGCTGGTTTGCTTTTGCTCTTGAGCTCGGCAGGACGGATCGAGGAGTCGCCTCCCTCTCCCCCTGCTGCCGTCTCACCTCTCCTCCCTCCGTCCCCCACGGTACAGGAGTGAGGAGGATTTTTAGAGGCAGTTTTGCCGACGTTTATGACCCCCCCCCGGCGCAGCGTCGACCATGCCTTGCCTATACTTTTGGCCCGACGGCGGCTTCAGCCCCGTCCAAGCCAATCTGCCGCGACGCCATGAGCTCCTACTGTGGCCAAGCCTTCTACCTGGGTGACGGCCAGGCTGCCCTCCACCGTGCGGGGCGTGCTAACCCCAGCTCCACCGACGGAGATGGGCCAGGTCGCTCCATCCACCTCGTCAGCCTCAACATCACGAGTCTCCCAGCGAACTGGCCAACCATCACCGCTCTAGGTGTCGACCACAACGCCGCAGTCATAGCTCTGCAGGAGACCCGACATGCCAAGCCTACCAGGCAAGCCATCGCTACCAACGCCGCCAATCCACACCACGGAGGATACCAGGCCAGTCTGGGACCTGACCTGGATCTGGCGCGTGCTCAGCGCAAAGCTGCCCACGGTGGCGCGGACCACACGGTCGAGGGCAACACCGGCGCCTCGGGTGGGGTCGCCATCCTCTCTAGCGAGACGCCATCCTGAGCCCGCCCTCCACCCGGATCAGAGTTAAGAAATTGTTACACACGTCCTAACGGCCACTAGCAACAATTTCTGCCTATGATCGGCATACCCCCCCGACCCGCCTGGACCAACTGATTCCCAACATCGAGGGCGCACGCGATGTTTTAATGCGGTTGCGGCAGCACCCGGCCTAGCGCGGTCCGCGAGCACGGGGCCCATCCTGACCAGCGCTGCCGGGGCCCGCACTACCGCACAGCACCGCCTTGCGCGCCCTGCGGAGAACTGGGAAACAGCGCCCGCAGAGGTCTTTGTACAACCGGGGAAGGGCGCTGACGCGCACGGCGTTGCGGCCGCACTCAAAATGCCAAAGGCACCTGCAGAGACCTTGGCTGTCCTCTCCAGCTGCGTCGAAGACCAGCACAGCATGGTACACGCCACTGGCCTCATTACTGACGAGGGCGACGTCCTCGCCCAGGCCAGCCGAAGGCGACGCGGGGGCGCCCTGGCAGGATTCCTCGCTGATCGCCCGAAGACGAAGGGACTCCCAATCCAAGTGCCTTTTTATCTCCGCGACGTCGAGGCGGATCGTCGCCCGCTCCTGCGACCCTGCCCCGGCGCTGGACTCGAGGCAGCGAACCCGCTCGAGAAGATCGTCGAGACGCGATGCCGTCGCAGGACCTGTGGCGCCCTCACGTCGGGCCTGGTGCCCTGTTGACGTCGCCGCGAGCTGGCCCGCCACCTCGTCCAGGCTCAACGAGACCGACGCGCCCGGGGAGGCGCCGCAAGAGGCCCGGAGCGCCCAGGCCGTGGACACCGCCAACGGCGCAGCCCGGATGTACCCGAGGACAGCGTCGCTCCCCCAACGCCCCAACAACTGGATAAGCCAGATGTCCAAGCCAGCGCGGGCGAGGCTCTGGGCGCCGGACACCCGGAGAGAGTGCCCTCCCCAGAGGTGGAGGCCGTCTGCAGAGACCGCGGGCAGGCCGAGCGCCTCCGCGGCGGCCCGGATGGTGGCGACGACCGCATCCTTCTCGCACACCTTGCCCTCGGGGTCCGGGAACAAGGCCAGGTCAGGCGCGGGCAGGCCGTCCGCCGAATGCCGCGCAGGAAACCGAGCCCTGAGCCATGACCGCTGGGCCCACAGCGCGTGGGCCGGGCAAGCATTGCCGAAGACCCCAGCGCCGCAGCAGCAGCCGTGTGTGCGGGCCACGCCTAAGGCCCGAGTGTCCGTCTTTGACGCGGGCAACAGCCACGTGGAAGCGAGTCGGCCGTCCGTCCCGGCGTGGAAGGTGACCATGTGCGCGGGCGCGGCGGAAAGCTCGATCTCGCGCGTGAGCCACCAGGCGCCCGCCAGCAGCGCCAACCGGGGGTTGGCGGGGCCCCCCGCAACCAGCGGAGTCGCGTCCGTCCGGAGCTGGGCTAACGTCTCCATCGCAATGCCCTCGACCTTGCGGTCTGGCCCGAGCCCCCGCTCGCACGAACGCCGTGCCTCGGCCAAGGCTTGGCCCAAGGAGGGGGGGAAGTCGAGGTCGGCCTGCACGTGCATCTTCTTTGCCAGCGACAGGTACAGGGCTGCGGACCTGTATCCGCCAGCCTTCAGCGAAGCGCCCAGCCGCCTGATCTTCTGCCGGGTCAGGGGGATCATCTCGACGCCCCACTGCTCGAAGATGGCCTTGAGCGTCCGGCGGCGCGACGCCTCCGAGTTCGCGGTCGTCGTCGCCAGCACTTCCGCGTCGAACTGCTCGAGGGCGCGGGCCTGGGCCTGCGCCGACGTGAGGTCCGCAAGGCACCCCCTCCGGTACTGGTGCCTCCCTGGCGCCTCGCCCCGCAACCCAGGGATCGACGGCCGCGCGGCCTCCCCCTGATGCGCCGCCGTACCCTGGGGACCACCGCCTCCTGGCGCCAGGCATGGCCGCGCCGGGCTGGGGCCCGACACGCTGCCATCTGCCGCGCCGAGGAGTGGACTACCCCGATGCCTGGCAGACGCCGGGCCTGGATCCTGCCCAACCTGACGCCGTTTGCGTCCTGCCAGGCTGGCTGCCAGATCCCACCGTGGCTGGAAGGCGCACATGGCGCGCGCGGCGCGCCGTGGGCGACGGCGCGGAGCCGGCCCACCTCGGGCCGCGGCACTACCGGACTGGGGGGGGGCGGGGATGCCTCTGACTAGCCCGGGAGGGCGGCCTCCAAAATGTGGCATCAGAGACCTCGTGAGGGTTAAAACTGAGGCCTCAGTTTTAACCCTGAATCTCCCTTGCCCGGGGGCGCGCCGGGGGGCCGGGTGGCCAGGGGTGCGCACGGGGGGCCGGGTGACCAGAATTCACCGGGGGCGCCCGGCCGCCGCCCGGCGAATTCTGAGCGCCCGCCAGGGTGCGCTCAGAATTCCCCGGGGGCGCCCAGCCACCGCCCAGCGAATTCTGAGCGCCCGCCAGGGTGCGCTCAGAATTCCCCAGGGGGGCGCCCGGCCGCCCCCCGGACGCCCGCTGGGCGCCCGCGGGGGCGGCCCCGCCCCGCCCCCGGGGACCTCCGGTGGGGCGAGGAAAAGGTAGGGACGATGAAAGCAAAACTTTTCAAGCCACCCCTCTGCTGATATGGTCTCGCGCCGCCCTGCACTGCCTTTGCCCCGGGAGCCGAGCGGCGGCGCCGCCTTCATGGCCTGGCGCCGCCCTGCCCAGGCCCCCGCTGGGCGTCCGGGAGCGCGCGGCTGAGACTGGCGTGGCGCACGTCTCACTCGGGAACCCGGGCCCGCCACACCTGGCGCCACGCGGGCACGGGGCTCCGCGGCACGCCGTGCAGCCTAGCTGGGAACGCCGCGGGAGGCACGGCCGCCAAACGGCTCAGGGAGTCGGCGACGAGGTTGAGCTCCTTGGGCAAGTGGGCGCACTCGAAGTGCAGGGGCCACCGAGCTGCCCGCCAGGCGATCTCCCGGGCGACGACGAGCATGTCTCCGCTGCCTTTGAGCTGCATCGCGTCCTGCAAGGCCGCCACGTTGTCCCCGAGGACGTAGAGCACGGCGTGCTCCGCGTGGCACCGCCAAATGATGAGCGCGAGGAGGAGCGTGATGAACTCCCAGAGGCTCTGATACTTTGCCAAGCCCAGAACGGCTCCGAAGACGTCGAGCACCTCCTGGTCCCACGAAGTCGCAAACCACTCGACTGGGGTCGCGCCCTCGAACAGCGCGGCGCCGCCCCCCCAGGGGCAGGCGTCAAATTCAACGTGGTATCTGGATCGCGGCCACTGAACCGCGTCGGGGCGCGGATACACTCGCCGCTCCAGCGGGAAGAAGCACTCGGGTCGGCGCGCCTCGTCGACTGGCTCCAGCAACGCGCGGAACCAGCGAGCCGCGGTGAAGAAGCGCTGGAGCGGCACCGTGTTCGGCGGGGACTCCCGCTTCCCCGCGTTCGCCTGGCGGAGGGCCCCCGTCAGCGCCGCCCACAAGGCCGCGGCGAACGGGGTCGCGGCCGGGATGATCTGAGCAACCCGGGCTGCCTTCCCCACCAACGACCGCGCTTGCTTGATCGGCGCATGGCCCTTCTTCGCCATGAAGTGGCGGAGGAGCTCCAGCAACTCATCGATGAAGTTCTGGGTGAGCCCCATGACGGCACAATCCTCGGCCATCGCGAAGCGAATGCCGATCCACTCGTGCTCCAGGGCCGGACGCGGGCCCCCGCGGAGGGGCCCGTGCGCGTGGCGGCCCTTCTTCCACGCGATGCGCAGCCCGAGCACGAGCCACCAAAGCAAGGCCAGATCGAGTTCCTGCTCGCACGCCCGCGGAGGGCCCTGCACCGCCAGCGCTGGGTCGTCCACGTACAGCTGGAGCCGCAGGCCCCCGCTCAGCGTCAGCGCCTGCGCAGTCCGCGCCGCCGCGCTGGCCACGCGGGCCCAGACCAGGGGATTCGCCTTTCCCCCGAACCCGAGCACCGCCCACACGATGAACGTGTAGTCGTTCTCCGCCTCGAGGCCCCGCACCTCGGCGCAATTGTACGGGCGCTCGCTCTCGTGGAGCGGGCACGACATGAAGGCGTCTGAGAAGTCGATGACGAGGATCTCCCCGTGGTCGGCTCCGTCCGCCGTAAAGAGGGTCGCCATGTCCACGGCGTGGTCGATGCCACGGGGCAGCACCGCCCGCTCGGGAGTGGAGCTGAGGAGGTTCACCCGCGATGCCTTCAAGTCCTGGATGATGCGGTTCTTCCAGCCGTCCCCGCCCTGCTTCCGCTTCCGGACGTTTCCGAGCGGCGCGGGATACGTGGGCCCGAAGACCTCCTCGGCGGCCTCGCGAGACGGAAATGCTCGGCCGAACCCCTTCTCCAGGTACTCCCGGACGAGGGGGAGCGTCGGCGCCTCGTTCTCGCCGAAATCATCCACGAACGAGCGATGGTTTCCTGAAAAACAAAACTCCCTGCGGAAGGCGTCCACTGAAAGGGTCGCCTCTGCGGCCGCCAACGGGAAATGGCCGCCGGGGGCGATCGCTCGCCGGATGCCCATCGGGGCTCCCTCCCGGAGCCAGATGGGCACGTGCACGTCGGGGTCCTTCGACCGGCGGGCGCACTCCGCGAAGATCTCGTGCCGCAGTGGGGAGGACGGATGGTGCTCCTCGGCCTGCGCCATCCCCAAACCCAGGGCCGCTGCCACCTCGGCGCGGGCAGACGCGACAGCAGACTCGGGCGGGGGCGCGCGAGAGGGCCGCTGCCCGCACGCGCCCACCATCCCGACCAGAGCGGGCTCACGTGCCCGCGCCCGCAGAAGGGCTGCCCGCACAACCGCCATGGCCTCCTGGAGGTCGCCCCACGCCTTCACTACCCTGTGAGGGTTGCGGAGGCCGGCGGTGCAGAGGGCATCCTGGGCCGACCGCTCCTCACGCGCGGATGGGCCCTCCGGCTCGCCGGGTGGTCGACGGGGCCGCACGCGTCTCCGATCCCACATGTCTTGGCCGGGGTAGCCAGCCGGCTGCGCCAGCGCGGGCGGCGTCGGACGAGCTGCGGCCGGAGCGTCGCCGCGACGCGCCCGCTGGCCCCCCCGCGCCCGGAGCTCCCCGAGCCGACGCTGCAGCTTCGCCAGTGCGCCGAGGTGGGAGCCCCACGCGCGGGCCAGTCCGCGACGCCCCGGCAGCGCGCGAGCCCTGGCTGCGTCGTCAGCGCGCCCGGCGGCCCCGGCGGGCCCCCCGGCAGCGCCGCCAGCGCGCCCGGCGGGCCCCGAAGCCTGGGGCCCCGGGGGCCCGGGGGCCGGGGGTCCGCCGGCAAGCTCGCGCCAGCGCGATTCAGGCGCCGGCTCGGCGCGGGGCGACGCGACCGGCTCTGGGGCCGCCAGCGCAGACCTTATTGGGGCCGACCTTATTGGGGCAATGCTTGTTGAGGTACCCGGCCTGGGAGAGGCCGTCCTTGTAAGGGTACTGGGGCCGCGGCCTAGTCACCGGGGGTGTTTCCCCCCTCCCTTGCCGCCGCCCCTGTTGCCCGGGCGCCAGCCCTCGGGGCGCTTCGGCGCCGGGCACGAATCATCGATCGCCCGGTGCGGCCCCTTGCACCATTCACACACGTGCTGCCGATTCGCTGGGCAGGGCGACGAGCAGCCGTGGGCGTTGCGGTTCCAGTTGAAACACAACTCGACGCCCTGGTGTTTCGTGAACCGGCCGTCCTTGGTCTCTCCGGCCGCGTTGTTGTCCCTGACCTGCTGCCAATGAGACTTCGCCTTCTTGGCCCTCTTCGCCCCAGCGCCCGTGGGGCGTTCAGAGCCGTCGCCGTGGTGGTCAGCAGCCCGCTTATCGGATTGCCGCTCGATCTGGTCGACGGCTGATGGGCCGCCCTCGACCTCCGACGTGCGAGAGCGGCCGCCCGTCCTGCCGGTCAGGCACGGGAGCTCCAAGTGGATCTTCCACCACTGCGAGTCTTGCCCGCTGTCGTAGGCCGTGTAAGAGAATACGGCTTCCCAGGGGCGCTCCCGGTCGAAGTCGCCCTGGAACTTGCCCTTCTCCACCAAATCCTCGATCTTCGTGCGGACCTGATGCCAGCGCTCCTCCAAGCAGTGGCAGACGGTCAGGAAAACGGCCCCCCAGTCACGGGGGAAGGTCGAGTTGAGGAGCCGCACCCCTTCCTCAAAATCGTCGATGGGACCCGGCCTCGAAAGTTGGAGCTTGATAGCCGCCACGCGGAAGACTCGCCAGCCCTTCCGCCAAGTCTCGAAGTTCTCTGGCCCGGCGAGCTTCTTCTTCACCAGCTGGCCGCTCACCCAGACGTCGGCCTGGAAGTTCATGAGCCGCTGGATCCGTTTCCCAAAGGGTCCGAAGACACTGAAGTCGACGTGCGGCGCCTCGCCCGCGGCGAGCCGGGCGGCCAGCGCCGAGAGCTGGACGTCCGTCGTGTCCTCGTAGTCCCTGGGCGGGCGCCCAGTCTCCCGCACGTAGTTCGCGTTGAGTTCCTTGAGCTTCAGGGCAGGGAGCATCGTGAACTTGATTTTCGACCCCTGGTCGATGACGCTGCTCATCTCGTACACCTCGGGCTGCTGCGCCGGCGCCGCCGCCGCGGCCTGCGGCGCCTGCAGGGGCCCCTGGCTGACCACGGGCGGCATGTCGCCCAGGAGCGGGGGGGGCAGCCCCACCGCGTGCGCCAGGCCCCGCAACGAGGCGCGGAGCTGGCCGCGCGCGATAGGGGTGATGTCGACGCCCTCCTCGGTCTTAACCGCCCACAGCGCCTCGTACATGTCACCGTCGAGGCTGCCGTACACGTCGCTCACGGAGGTGCTCTCCCACGCGCCCCCGAGCGCCTCCACGTAAGGCTTGAGGAGGTCCTCGGAGAAGCCCAGCGACCTGGCAGCGGCGCCGAAGGTGAGGCCACGAAGCGCGGCCGTCGTTCCAGCTGACGCGACGCCTGCCCCGCCTGGCCCCCTCGAACCGGCACCGCTCTCTGCCCCGCCGACTCCCCCGCCCGCCGCGCGGGGTGGCACCGCGAACCCTGCCGCGGGCTCCACGCCAGGCGCTGCAGGCGGGAAGAGGGACATTGCTGGTAGCGAGCTGTGTTCCTGGCAAACTAAGGCCACTCGAACGTTTCGCAACTCGCCGGCTTCAGCCAAAACGGCCACGTCCGGCGAAGGCTAGCGAGACGCCATCCTGAGCCCGCCCTCCACCCGGATCAGAGTTAAGAAATTGTTACACACGTCCTAACGGCCACTAGCCACATCTGCTGCACATGATGCAGCACGGATGGTTTAACGTCGCTGAAGGTACACCAGACCACACCATGCACACATATGGCAATATCCCTGACTGGGACCGCGTCACCAAGTGCCCCCGCACTTCGCGCATCGATTATATCATCGCCAACCAAGATGCGCGATCCCTTGTCACCGACTTCTGCTATCTGCGTGACTTGCCAGCGAAGTCCCATGTTGGCCTGCAGGTCACACTCGACCTTAGCCGCCTCGATCACACGGCCCCGCGCCTTCTGGCCCCCACGCCTTACCCTTCAAACGACGGAGCTCATGACGACCATGAACTTCAGGCATTAGGGACCCTCATCGCAGGACGATACCACGACCGCATGGAGCAGGCTGACACACGCGACGATGTGGAACGCATGTTCGCCCTGGCAAACGAGGCCAGCCATGAGTACCATCTCACCCGGCTGCGGGACCTGCCGCCCCCACCGCCAGACCACCCAAAAAAGAAGGCCCCTACCATGCACGGGCTCACACCCACGTTCGAGGAGCGACCCGCCGTCCCCCGCGCCTTTCCCACCTACGGAGCTTCCACGATTCACATGAACCGCCTTCGCAAGCTCCATCGGCAACTTTGCGAGCTTCGCTTCATCGAACAGCACCATCATATGGACTGCCGTGCTATCCCGCCGTACCTGGCGCAACGCATCGACTGCACGTGGACCGCGGCCCGCCTTCTCTGCCACAAGCTGCGCCCCACGGCCCTCCTGGCCTTTCCTGACGCCTGGACCCCCGACGTGCCAGCACCACGCGGAGAGCACCTAGATCGTCTGATCCAAAACCTAGACTCGGAGCTGGCGCGACGTGCAAACCGAGCCAAAGCTGAACGCATCAAGATCTGGGCTGAGGGTGTCCGCGAGCCAAGCGGGCGAAAGGCGGCCATATACGCACGGGCTGCCGACTGCTCGCCCACGGCGTATCTCCGCACGCCTACCACTCCCGACGATGCACAGCTCCACTGCGACACCACCGCCTTCAACCCTGACCAAGCTAGCACGGACGATAGTGACGCCGACACCGACGCCGGCGGCTTCAGCCCCAGCGACGGTAGTTCGCTCGACACGGACAACGACGACGGCCACACTCGTGGCCCACCACCTGCCCAGGTTCCCGACGCCCTCCCCGCCAACGCTATTGTTGCCAACACCAAAGACATGCTTAAGCTCATGGTCGACACCTGGGAGCCCATCTTGGGCAGGTACCGCGCTCGCGCGGGCCATGATGCCGAAGCTATGCCGACGTGGACGGACTTCTACGACGAATACCGCCAAGAGCTGCCTACGCCATCACCAGCAGCCCCCTTCCACCTCACCGACGACCAACTCATCCACTTCATTCGCACCCGTTCACCGCGCCGCGCGGGGGGACTCGACGGCTGGACAACTAAAAAGGCTAAAGAGTTACCCGACGACATCCTTCGCCTCTTCGCCAGCGTCTTACGTGCTATGCAACGCACTGGCACCATCCCCGAACCCCTCCTGCACGCGCCAAACCCGTGCCTCCGAAAAGGCCGAGGGGAACTCCCGGCGGACCAACGACTTCTCTCGGTTCTTTCCGTGTGGATGTATGCGTGGGAAGCGCCGGCCTACCGTAGCCTCACGACCTGGCGGCAAGGATGGACCCATGCCACGAGCTTCGGCGCTGTTCCCAAAGCCACCATTGGGGATGTCAGCACCTCTCTCGCCCTGCGCATCGAACACGCCAGGACTTTACTCCTCCCCTTAGCTGGAGCTGCCCTTGACCGACAGAAGTGCTTCGACTACCTCATCACGGACATCTGTCTAAACCTTGCGCTGCACGCGGGGTGTCCACAAGACATCGTTACTGTCCGCCGAAATTTCTACAGACACCACAAACGCTACATCCGCATGAACGGAGCGTACTCCAGGGACCTGGCCAGGACAAACGGTCACCTCCAGGGCAGCTCGTGGTCCCTGGATGACATCAAGCTGCTCATGTGCGTGTGGACAAAGAGGCAGCACCGATACGTTCCTCGATCACTCAGCACTACCTTCGTTGACGACAGCAACTCCACTACCCACACCGCTTCTGAGCTGCAGAAATCTCTCGACGAAACCGCCAAGTTTGATCGATTCTCAGGCCAACGCATTCACCCTGGTAAAGTGGCAGGGTGGGCGCTCACCGACGAGCTTCACGCCGCCGTTACCCAGCTCACACTGGCGGATCGCCCCCTACGTGTGGTCGATTCCTTCAAGCTCGTCGGAAGTTACATCAACGCAGAGGCAGCGCCGGCTCCAGCCGCGCTTAACCTCACGGCCACCGCAGACGCCCGTGCACGGAGGGCGACTATCCGCCTGCCGCGCATTGGCAAGCTCCCGTCGCCGATGCTTATCAAGGCGCGGCATGCCCGATCCCTGGCTGCCAGCGTCTGCACCACGGGCACCGACATTCAAGCACCATCAGGCCCAGCCAAGACTGCCTACAACCACGCCCTCAAGGCGGCTATCCGCCCCAAGGGGAACAAGTGGGTCGAGTTCTGGACTCTCATGGCCGTGTGCGTGCCGGGACACGCCCTTGAGATCGACGCCATCACGCAGCGTGAAGCATTCCTGTGCCTGCGGCGACAGGTTAACCGCGACGTTACACTCTGCGGGCTCGCCAGAGACCTCCAACACCACGTCCAGACCCTGTTTGGTGGAGGACCCGTCGGACGACTCGTCCAGTCGCTCCAGCAGCTCCGATGGACCTGGCCCACATTTGGCATCATGTACGACGACTGGGGCTGCCCGATCAGCTGGCTGAATTTACCCCAAAACGCCTTCCTGCACATGCTGCGGGCCTCACAACGCAGGGCATTTCTGCGGAGGATCAAGCCACGGCGACACGACCTTGGCTACCTCGCCTCTGTCAGACAGGGCCTTGACCTCTTCGCCAGCACGTGGCTCGCGCGAACTAAAGGAGCAGCCAAATGCACTGCCTGGCAGCTGGCGCTCCTCCTGAACTACCTGTCGGGCGGGGACCACACCCAACAGCGACGATCCCGATCAAACACGTCGGCAGACCCCAGCCCCATGTGCCGCTACTGTGACGAGGAAGAGGAAACTCAGGAGCACACTGTCCGCGACTGTAAGTGCTGGGCCCGAGAAAGACTCCCTCTCACCACCCTCATCAGTGACGACCAGTGGGCCCGTCTTCCGCCGCACACAAGACACTGCGGGCTCTTCGACGAAGACCCAGCCCTCCTCGACCTGCAGGCCGACCTCGCGAGGGACCCGCTGCCACAGCCCATTCCGCGGCCCTCCCCTGATGGTGATCCTGCGGCTTCAGCCCAGGACACCTACACCACCTACCTTGACTACGACACTGGTTGGACATGGGTCTATGCTGCCACGGACGGTGCGTGCACCAACCAAGCCATCCCATTGCTAGCACGAGCGGGTTACGGCGTCTACTACGGCATCGATCACCGCATGAACTACAGTGCACGCGTTCACGGCCTAACGCAGAACGCCCAGGTTGCGGAGACCCTCGCCATTGTCCACCTTACGGCATGTGCCGAACGGCCCGTGCACGTTTTCGTGGACAACCAGGCGGTGGTCGATGGGTTCCAAAGCATCATCGACGGACATCCAGCGCCGCAGGGCACGCACGCGGAGCTCTGGGAAAAGATCCACCGATGTGTTATGGCCAAGCCCAACATGTTTCGCGTCGAAAAAATCGCCAGCCACCTGGGAGACCTGGGCATCGACCTTGGGCTCATCGGGCCCATCGCGGAGGAGTTCAACCGTCAGGCCGACGCCCTTGCCACAGCGGCGGCACGCACGCACAACCTCCCCGACGACATTGTTGAAGCTGCCAAAACACGACATCGCCAAGCGACCGTGCTTCATGGGGTCGCTGTCGCTATCTACGAGCGCAGACACCGTACTCTGCCGCTCCCACACCGCAGGGCTGGGTTTACAGCAGCGGAACTCAGCAAAATGGAACCGAACCCCCTGCTGTCGGACCAGGCACCACCCGCGGCTGGACCATACATCCCGCAGAACCCGGATGAGCTCTGGGCCGAGGCCCAACGGGCGATGCACGACGAACAGGAGGACGACCCGTTCGGCTTCGGCGGGGGATTAGACTTCCTGGACGACGGGCCAGCCAGCGCCAACCCTGCCCCGTCGGGCAGCCTCTCGACGCCCACCTCGACTCCGCCACCGAGAGTGACATCGCACCCACATGATGACGTCGCTCACCGTCAAGACGCCGACGATGCCGCACGGATTGAGTGGCAGCATAGACGACGCCCCGCCGACGCCCCA